TTTTGTGAAAAATGATACCCTATTCTAGACCCAAACGCTCTGATTTATATACCCCATCCTAGAGTAAACTGCTTCAAAACCATACCCTTCACAGCGGCACATACCTATATAGCCCATATATGGCTGTGGCCCCCCGGGATGCATGATACCAACGGCTGGCCAATGCTTCAACCTTTGTCCTGCTAGAGGGGGTTTCATACCAAAACAAAAGTACATTGCAAATACTGTAAATCCTCATAAAGCCCGGTCCTTTCAAATAAGGCCCCCTTTTTCCTAGGAAGAAAGCTATTAAACACCTTTCTCTTTTTTAGCCCCCCTCCCTTCCCCCCTATTCCACACAGTCAAGTTAATAAATGATAGACTGTATTTGTAATGTAATTACGACTATAGCACTTCACGTGGACTGATCCGGTACGGTTTATTCAAGTGCTGAAAGTTCAAATTTGTTTTTGATCTTCGGCTGCATGACCTCTAACTTCATGTGCTTGAACTTTTCCACTTTGCGTCTTAGTTCCTTATGGAGAATTGATACTATCTTCTGGAAATGCGTTTCGCTAGGAATTAAATAAGCCCCCTCTGGGGGCTTAATAGAGGATTTACGGAACATAGTCAATCACAAGAAAAATACGAGTAACTCAATAAGCCAGTCTTACTTTGAATATTGAACTCTTTATTTCACGACTGGAAGTTTAATGTGAAAAAATCAAATCAAATGTAAAAATCACCGTCTGTACTTACTTTGCCATGGTAGCCAAGCCTGTATGTACTTTCAGTACCATTCTCCCATGAGACAGCCGCTGCACTTGTTGGGTTTTCCTTCCAATTTGTGATTTTCTTCACGGTACCAAACGACCCTATTCCGCCATCTTGGTTGTCATATTCCCAGTCTGGACCTCTTGTAACTTTAGCACCAGGATAAATGCCTCTTGTTTGAATCTTAAATTCCTTGCTTCTTCTTCCGACAGAAATTCTGCATCAATGTAACAAAATATAGGGTAAGAAATATTTGAAAATAAAACTGACTGCTTAAAAGATTGAAATTTTCTTTTGTTTCCATCCTAACGTAAACGACTACTTAAAGCAGATAATAACAGAGCGAAAATTAGATAATAAGGTGTCGTAACTATCGCATTTCTGGATAGTACAAAAGACGCAATTTCTAAATGGGAAGTACAGAATTTTCTCGAAATTGACTTTTCATATGAATAAAACATTTAAAACATGGGGTAAGTCTCTGCAGTTACCATATGCTAATGAGAGAAAATTTCCTCCAATATGGTCACAGCTCTCGAGCTCGTAAGCGACCACATAGGCTTGACATTTTGGGTGGTCGCTTACGGAAGGATCGACTGTATTTGAATGATAACATTA